AGTTGTACGACAATGAATGATGCACGTACTCGCCTCTACCGCAGCCATAAGAAGTCGCCACAACTGAAGAACTGCCACCGACTGACGTCAACCTGCAGCTGCATGTGCTCCGAACTCACCTTCAGATGCTACTGTGGAAGGCAGCAAACCAACGTGACCCACCTGAAGAAGCTCTACATATTACCAACTTTGGTTGGAGTATCAAAGGCTCCACCATCACACCGACCATCTCAACAGCGCCAGTTGCTCCCCAAGCGCTCCTGGATGTAGTGAGCTGCAGCTGCAGCGCAGAGGGCAAGGCAAGCAGCGGGTAACGTTGCAGCTGCAACCTTGCAGGCCTTTCATGTACAGACTATTGCAAGTGCGAGGGAGGAGTCGCCTGTTGTAGTCAATTCACGAAAAATCAGATGGACACCGAAGACAATGAAGAGGAGCTAGGTATAGATGACGACAATGACAATGATGATGATGCGGATTGAGGAGTAATGAGGATGAGGAGTCATAGAGGATTGTGACAACTACTGTTTATTGTGTACTGTTTAAGGCTGTTTGCTATTTTCTCGTTGAAATATGCCTATCTACTATCTATGAATAGTGAATTTACATTAAAGTGTTTTACTTTGACTGTTGACCTTCATTTTGACCTTGACCTTGACCCCATATCTAAAAAGTAACTCTAGAAATGGACTCCCTGCTCTCGAAACACCCTAAAAAGAGGTATTGCATGACACTCTAGGGCATCGAGATTACAAATTGTAAATGGACCAAAATCGAAGATGAACGGCGGCTGCCATCTTGAATTCCAAGAAATGCTCAACGATGCACAGGTAGCAACCAAGCTAAATCAGCACTCCTAACTATATAGAACACATTTCCATGATAAAAGTTTAGAGTAACTAACATATTACAGGGTCCCATATAGGACATATAGGGCCGCAAACCGACTATACACGGCCCGGCTTCAACGTATTCTGATGCACTGGAACGGAAATGTTAAAATCCAGATGAGACGGAATACTAGATAAGTGTTGCCGAAAGGAGGTGTTGATCCAAAGTGCTGAGCGCAGATCTTGCACGCAGTTCCGCAGCAAGGCGCACGCGACCGCGGGAACGTCCTACGNTCACGACATTAAATGCTTGCTATGGGCTATGTACGATTTACGAGTGATTGTTCACAGTTGTTTCAGCAAAATAGGAAGTATAATGCAGCAATTTAACCATAAAAATTGAACAGAATCACTTACATTGTGTAAAAAAAGTGGCCATATTTGTTTTACTTTTACTAATTCTGGTGATGTATTCACTTTAAAAAATTTCAATTAAATTTGCAAACATTGATGAAAAGACTATTTCATTTTTGTGTTTTTTTTGCATACTTTACAGCTTGGAGACAGAGGATGAATGGTGAAGTTCCAACCGATTCCCACCGCTAGGAGAAACCTATAGACCTGGTAAATGACAATCTCCTGTTGCGAAAACCCAGACTGCGTAATGGACAGCCGTATACACTAATCATAACTATTTAGTAAACATAACATTAGTAGTAGACGTAAGTGAACACATCTACAGTCAATGCGTGCTTATCTGGAGTGCTGTTAAATAGTTAAAACTGAAAAAATTTTCAGGATGGCAGCACAATTACGCGGTGTCATGTCAATGCCCGAAATAAAAGATTGAGAATTTCAGTGTTGTTTTATGACAAACGTGAATGTATGATTATAGAAATTTGTAGGTATATGATAATATAAATTTATGCATATATACTATCACAATATACTCGAGGAAAGTGTTGTGCTTTTTGTTTGTTTCTTTGCGCCTCGTGGTACACGAATAACCAGGTATAATTTAAAGAGATAAGTTTTATTCACAATCAGAGCATCATGGCAGCAACTGGCGCTGCTGGGCCATCCGTACAAATAGAAAATGAACCAATGAGAAATCACTATTGCGTATTGCGCAATCAAGGTATTAATATTATACTGATAATATGACATCTCCTTTTTTTCATAAAAAGATGAACAGATTCTATACATTTGAAATGTACAAGATATGATGTGCAATCACATCAACACAGTTACAAGTCCAAACGCTGTGGGGGTTTGATTGTCCTGGCTGAACGACGCAGGCCCGATTCTACAGCAACCGGTGTGGGCACATCGGGGGCGCCGGCGGTATCGTCACTGTCGTCGGGTGCCGGGACGGTTGACGTGTCATCCGGTTCATGACGGTGGAAGGTCTCACCAGTCTTCCTGATGTGGTGGCGATTTCGCCTGAATGGTCCGCCGGTGGTGTGGATAATGTATGACCGCGAATTACGGTCGGCAGCAGCCACGATGGCTAGTTGCCAGCGCTTGGTGATGGGGTCACGCACTCGTACGCTCTCCTCCGTGCGTAGCTCTGGGAGCGTGTGGGGGTAGCGGCGGTCGTGGAACCTCTTCTGTACGTCCTGGCGAAGCTGTAGGGTTTCGTTGATATGCCCATCGCTGTGTACCGGAATCGTGGGAAGATTTGCGCGGTATCGGCGGTTGTTGAGCAACTCACTCGGTGATGGCGTGTTGTGATCCCCAGTTGTTCTGAGGCACAGGATGGCGAGATGAGGGTCGTTCCCACTCTCTCGCCTTCGTGAAAACGTTCTTCACCGTCTGGACAGTGCGCTCAATAAATCCATTGGATGAAGGGATGTGCTTTTGTGGATGACGTCACAGTGTTGGTGTGCACATCATCTGCTGGCGTGCTTGTAGCGTCAGCGATGTTTATGTTATAGTGCAGTGTCACTAGCTTCAGCGCTCTACACACAGGCAGGCCTACTATAGCGGGGCAGTTATCTCTGCTCACGTGGAATGTACAGCATTCACTCTGCTCCCGGTGCATTAATGTGAGAGAGCATGTACCATAGTGCTCAACTGTATGTCCACCAAACGCGATCAGCTTGGTTTGGGTGGGGCGCAAGCCAGGGGGCACTCCATCAGTGGCAGTGTTTCCAGTCAGTAATGAACGATATACTGCTGCAGATATCACGTTTCCTTCACTGCCGGTATCAATTTTGTATGATATGTCTCTTCGTGCATGGTCGGACTCAGTGCTGAGTGTGACGAACGCCTGTGTGTCGTCACTGTTGCTAGGGGTAACGGTCTCGCGCTTCTTGGCCGCCTGCTTCTTGAGTGTGTGAAAGTACAGCTCCTCCTCGTCGTCCACGCGGCTGGTGGCGGTTTCTGCCTCTGTCAGCGTGTGGACACGAGTGTTGTATTTCGGCTTGGCATGATGACCTCTGTTTGACGAGCGACACATTTTGGCCCAGTGATTCTGCTTGCCGCAGTCCTTACAACTAGTACCATAGGCTGGGCACTTTTCCTCTTTTCTGTGCGCCTTGCTTGAGCTTGGCGGTCGCGCATACTGCTTCTTGGCGCCAGTCTGTCTCGGCGTGCGTGCCTTGCTGCTTGGAGCGGTGTGGAGGGCATGTAAATTGTAATGTGTGAACGCCGTGTATGTCGTCTAGCTGTCGTGACGTTGCCTCGTAGAGCTGAGCGGTTTTCAAGGCATCTGCTATCGTTGTCGTCTCACCCGTTTCTAATAATTTCGACTGGACACGTCTTGAATGTATGCCGTATATTAGAGTGTCTAATATGTGCTCGTTTGGTTCTTTGTACTTACAGTCCGAGCACACGAGTTTGATGCGTTTTAGAAATGCATCTACCGTCTCGTTCGGCTCCTGTTTCAGGTTCCTTAGCTTGTAGCGTGCCACGCGGAAGTTGCTGTGCGGTTTGATGTACGCTCCAAACTTCTCCCAGTGTATGTTGAGGTCCTCCTTCTCGTCGCTTCCTAGATCCCATGACTTTGCGATGTCGCGGCCTTCCTGTCCTACCCAGATGAGTAGGTAGCGGACTTTCCTCGCGTCTGCGTACTCAGACAGAGGGCCGTCAAAATACAGTTCGCAGAGCATCTTGAAATTGCTGAAGGCTACACTGGGGTCGGCTGCTTGCCAGTCCATCGTTGGCGTCGGCAAGCCGCTGAGTTCTGCCATGGTCTATGCTGTGATGAAAACACAATCGTGTTTTATCTCTTTGTACGTCTTCTACCCAGCGATAAAACTGTTATTTATCAGCTGGTTTGCACTTCTGACACCATGTCGTGCTTTTTGTTTGTTTCTTTGCGTCTCGTGGTACACGAATAACCAGGTATAATTTAAAGAGATAAGTTTTATTCACAATCAGAGCATCATGGCAGCAACTGGCGCTGCCGGGCCATCCGTACAAATAGAAAATGAACCAATGAGAAATCACTATTGCGTATGACGCAATCAAGGTATTAATATTATACTGATAATATGACAGAAAGTATTCAGTGAATCAGTTGAGAGATGAACACATCAAGCTGTAAACAGCATGACTGTGTTGGGATTTTTAAGAGTAAACCACGTGCAATACTTAATCTGTATAGATTATAGGGTTTGGTAGGTTGTCATTCCTTATGGCTTACAGATCTTGAATAACATGGCATGTCTCCCCAAATACGATTAACGTCCTGGAGCGAGAACCTTAGCATGTGATCATATTTGTGAATATTGCTTTGCTTTTCTCTACTCTAAACGTTGATATCGGGTTGCCAGTTAAACCTTAACTTAGAAAGTATAGTATTATATATATATCTACCCTTGTAACTGTTCTAGTGACGAAATGTCAATCTTTGTGATAAAATACAAAAAATAGCAAGGAACCAAACAGATTCCCATTACAGAGCGAAGGGTTATGACGTTGGTAGCTCTAGCTGACAAGTCCTTCACCGGGGTATACAGCAGAGTATGAAGCAATGCTGTTTCAGGATTGTTGAGTAACTGGCCACTATGGCCACCAGTATATGAATTTAAATGTGACTGTGAATGTTGCTCACACGATCGTTTACCGATCATGCGTGTGATAAACGCCCCAATGTTGCCATATTATCTATGGCGAGCTGAGTTTGATTTTTAGAATGGCAGACGAACAAATACTTATTTAGCTGGTTATGATATTTTTTCATTATACCACGAGCTGCAGTGTTTCTCACCATGCTGCAAAGACTACCTACCGGTTTCATTCGTACTATGCTTTGTAGTTGTGTTGCTTGGGCAGCTCTGGGGTTTGTATTGACACCCCACAGTTCAATAAAAGATTATGCTCCCAAAAGTTTCTTTGTATTTTCAACAGCTTACTAAGATTGATTGCTGCATTTAGCAATGATATCTCTCTGTTGAATTTAGAGTTGTTACATGTTTCTTGTTCTAGTATTTGTTACATGTCATGATGTGTTGCCGTAGCTACAGTGTTGCAGGGTATCTATGTTGATTTTTATATTCATGTCTTTTTCCTGCAGGAGAGCTTAAGCGAGAGCTTGCAACGCAGCAAAACTGAGTACTTGCGGTCTGTCTGATGGAGCCTTCTCATTCAGATATGCCACGCCCCGGAGGAAAGAAGTCTTATGTGTGTGATGTGTGTGGATACGCTAGCTCCAAGCTATGTGATCTCAAGAATCACGTGCGCACTCACACAGCAGAAAAGCCATATAGATGTGACATGTGTGAATACAGCTGTGCTCAGTTCAAAACCCTCAAGATTCCCATGCGCACTCACACAGGAGAGAAGCCATATGCATGCGATAGGTGCGAATATAGGTGTTCTGGGTCAGATCTGCTCACGTTACACATGCGCACTCACACGGGCGAGAAGCCGTATAGGTGTGATTTATGTGAACACAGGTTTGCTCAGTCTGGTGGTCTTAAGAAACACATGCGCACTCACACAGGAGAGAAGCCATTTACATGTGACAGATGTGAATACAAGTGTACAACCTCTGGAGCACTTAATACACACATGAGAACACACACAGGGGAGAAGCCATATAGGTGTGATATCTGTGAATATAGTTGTTCTCAATCCGGCAATCTTAAGAACCACATGCGCATTCACACAGGAGAGAAGCAATTTACATGTGACAGATGTGAATACAAGTGTGCATCCTCTGGTGCCCTCAAGATACACATGCGCACTCACACAGGAGAGAAGCCATATAGGTGTGATATCTGTGAATACAGGTGTGCTCAGTCCAGCCATCTTAGGATACACATGCGCACTCACACAGGTGAGAAGCCCCATGTGTGCGATATATGTGGACGTAAGTTTACTCAGTCCAATAGCCTCAGGATACACATGCGCACTCACACAGGAGAGAAGCCATTTACATGTGACAGATGTCAATACAAGTGTGCATCCTCTGGTGCAAAGATTCAAATGGAAAAGTGGAATGGTGATGTCTTGGATATCAACAAAACTGTTGAGCGGTTATGCCCCAGAAAGTGCAGCCAGCTTCTCGGTGTCCATGCGCTGTCAGGCTGCGATACAGTGTCGTACCCCTTCGGAAAAGGAAAACAGTCAGCACTCAAGCTCCTGGAGATTGATATACCAGGTCTGGATCAAGTGCTTGGAGAGCTTGGCGCGACCCATTCTCAACTCAGAGCGACAGCAGACAGCTTCTTCCTTCCTCTCTACGGACAGAAGAGTTGTACGACAATGAATGATGCACGTACTCGCCTCTACCGCAGCCATAAGAAGCCGCCACAACTGAAAAAACTGCCACCGACTGACGTCAACCTGCAGCTGCATGTGCTCCGAACTCACCTTCAGATGCTACTGTGGAAGGCAGCGAACCAACGTGTACCACCTGAAGAAGCTCTACATATTACCAACTTTGGTTGGAGTATCAAAGGCTCCACCATCACACCGACCATCTCAACAGCGCCAGTTGCTCCCCAAGCGCTCCTGGATGTAGTGAGCTGCAGCTGCAGCGCAGAGGGCAAGGCATGCAGCGGGGAACGTTGCAGCTGCAACCGTGCATGCCTTTCATGCACAGACTATTGCAAGTGCGAGGGAGGAGTCGCCTGTTGTAGTCAATTCACGAAAAATCAGATGGACACCGAAGACAATGAAGAAGAGCTAGGTGTAGATGACGACAATGACAATGATGATGATGCGGATTGAGGAGTAATGAGGATGAGGAGTCATAGAGGATTGTGACAACTACTGTTTATTGTGTACTGTTTAAGGCTGTTTGCTATTTTCTCGTTGAAATATGCCTATCTACTATCTGTGAACAGTGAATTTACATTAAAGTGTCTTATTTTGACCGTTGACCTTTATTTTAACCTTGACATTGACCCCATATCCAAAAAATAACTCCAGAAATGGACTCCCTGCCCTCGAAACCCCCTAAAAAGAGGTATTGCATGACACTCTAGGGCATCGAGATCACAAATTGTAAATTGACCAAAATCGAAGATGAACGGCGGCGGCCATCTTGAATTCCAAGAAATGCTCAACGTTGCACAGGTAGCAACCAAGCTAAATCAGCTCTCCTAACTATATAGAACACATTTCCATGAAAAAAGTTTAGAGTAATTAACATTGCAGGGTCCCATATAGGACATATAGGGCCGGCAAACCGACTACTTCCCTGGCGTGTGGCCTTTGCCCGCTTACACTAGATTACTAGCGTCCCTTACATGTGTCATCTTACTAGGGGCAGCTCGACAGACCGCAACAATCTGGTCAGCTATTAACGGTCATACGGATATGCTCACAGCGTTAATAAGTGCAGGATCTAACATAGAACACGCGAACGATAATGGCTACACCGCAATAACCTGTGCGGATACAGTCAATGCATTATTAAGTGCGGGCGCTAACATAGAACACGCGGACGTGAATGGCAGGACCGCCATAATGGTGGCAGCTGAGGACGGTCATGCGGATACGGTCAATGTATTATTAAGTGCAGGCGCTAACATAGAACACGCGGACGTGAATGGCAGGACCGCAATAATGTGGGTAGCTTTTAACGGTCATACGGATACAGTCAACGCGTTATTACGTGCAGGCGCTAACATAGAACATGCAGACGCTGATGGCAACACCGCAATGGTGCTGGCAGTTCATTGCGGTCATACGGATACGGTCACCGCGTTATTGAGTGCGGGTGTAATGCGGAAATATTAATAATAAGGATGAATCAGAATAATAAGAACAAAGAGCTTTGTCTTTAAGACGCTACGTGCAGAGACATAGGCCAGATACGTAATTGGCCCTGGGGTCAAGGGGCGTGACCACCGGCCCTCACCAGCCACTGGGAGCGCGCGTCATTTGACACGCGTGACCAGCGGTCAATGAAGCTGGCGCGACCAATGATGACGGTCGGCTAAGACAATGACCACGGCGTCAGTATTTAAACGTGTATTCCATGAACTACGCTACTACTCTCTCTCTCTACTATTTTGCAATTCAGTCGATACACGTATATATATATTTACCGTTGCTGTCACGGCTATATACACCACTTCTCGAGATGTAAGTTATGTTTCTGTCGCGTACCTTTCTGTACTGGTCGATGCTACGATAGTATATGTTTCACTAGAGTCCTAGATAAGTTGGCGACCTATCGCCTAGAGTCGACAGTCGAGTAATAACTAAGCGTTACACGGGCGCTAACCTAGAACACCTGGACGTGATAGGCGGCACCGCACTAATGGTGGCAGGTCGTTACAGTCATACGGATACGGTCACAGCGTTATTAAGGGCGGGCGCTAACATAGATCGCGCGGACGTGAATGGCTTAACATCATTGATGGTTGCTGCCGGTAGCGGTGATACATCGTCCGTCATGAAGCTACTAGCAGCAGGAGCGCGTGTGGAGAGTCGCAGTAACAATGGCTGGACGGCGTTGGGGTGGGCTGCCTGCGGCGGTCACGCATGCACTGTGAGAGAATTATTGGATAAAGGAGCGGGGCGGCCTCCTGAGGACGTGCAAGCAGCGTATGAGGCGGCCGTACATCGCGCCCGTGACGTCACCATCAACGACGGCTATAGAGATTCCGCCGGCGCTCTACTGGCGCACGTATATTTTATCAGTGAGCTGCCCGACCATTGTTATTGTGGCGCAGAATATGAGACATCACCCTGTAACGTCAGTGGTGTGACGTGACTGACGTCACTGTCGGATATATGGGAGACGTCAGGCTTTTTCTCGATCCGCGAACACACGATTTTGATCGTAAGCGTCAAAATATATCGAATATTAATGAGTTGCATACAAAAACTGCTCTTACACATTAATGTTTAATATAGACGCTATTCGGCTGTTTATTGCCACTCGCTTTAGACCTAAGGTACCGATCGACTCCTACCACCTAAAACTTGCGCTGCTTCATGTCGAATCTCTCAACCCAGCGGATTAGATCCGTCGCAGCTCCCAGCAATCGTGCGCAAAATATGTGAGTACGTACAATCGTGTACAAATGACCGCCACATGCCGAATCCTTATATTGAAAATTTCAATGTATTGGCCGAGGACTGCGATAAAGCAATATCATACGTGTCGGTCGCGTACTTGAGGAAGCGGCACGTGGCTGAGTTACTCAGACGTATCGATGACGGTCCGCTGGTGAATGGGAGCTGATTTATAAAGCTTAGCCTTGAGGAGCTGTGGGGGGGGGGTGGAGGAGTCGGTCAGGGCAGCATGGCCTGAACATGTAGCAGGTATCGAAGCCGAGTTTATTAACGCTTGGAACCGACTGTCTAACACCTGTGATACATAAAACCAGTTAAAAATTACGGACTCAATGCAAATTTCGAACCTTCAGCTGTCAGTTACTGTGTATTAATTTATTAAGTAATTATCTAATTAATAATGAGTTTATTTATGTATTATATTTTCATATTTATTTATTCATCTATTCATACATTAAATTATTTAATTATTTAATAATTTCTCAGTTGCTGTAAATTATTGTGATATCACAAGTAATTCATGAATTGTCGGTATGAAAGTAATATATATTTTTCAAATAAATGAATCATAGACTTTCGTGTAATTTCAAAAATTTTCTACATGCAATATATTTGTCTTGGATTCTGTTTTGATGATGAAGTGCTTGCACACTTTGCATATGGCAGCGATCGACTTGTAATCAACTAATCTTTTACGGCAATGCCGTTTCCAAATTAACCGATTCTTCTTCTTATTTTTTCGCATTATTAGTCCAAATCAAGTGGTGGTCGTGGTATTCTATTTTTCCGAACGAACTACGTACACGAAAACATAACCTACAATATTTTTAATGTCACGTTAAGCATTTATTGAGATATAAAGCTTGTGTATACACAGAATTAAGAAAGCATTAACTATCTATCGTTTCTCTAATGTACGTCGATGGTTGCTCAATTAAAACTGACTTCTTCTCACTCACTCATTTGTGTCCTTTTTTGTGGTGAGCTACAGTGTCATTGACACTTTCATTCAAATTGCATACAGTTGTTACTCCTATGGGAGAGATTTAAACGTCCTATTTTGGAGCACGCCAGTCGACCTACTTTCGAGCCACGCCCACTTTTTGGCAAAAATGAAAATGGCCATCTAGATTCATTCGATTTTGTTGTTTTAGTTCTCCCATATATACTCTTGTTTTATATAGGTGGATAGTTGCTGAATTAAAAATGCTACTTGTTGGCAATCGCTCATTTGGGTACTTTTTTTTGTGGTGAGCTATAGTGTCATTGACACTTTCATTAGTTTTTGCATTAACACAAACATTGCAAAATATCCCAAACGACCACAATCATATTTGTAAATGTTTATGTAAACAGAAACGCACCTGTGAATTGCGTATGTTAGTGAAGAGAATTATAGATCAAAAACCTAGAATATTCCTAGAATATTCCTAGAATATATCCTACCCATGTTATAAAAGGGCAGTTTATACCCCCTCTTATCTGATCTCAATATGGCGGCGGGGACTTTCCGATATGGCGTATAACTTGAGTTAGATGATGCTGCAAGTGGCACAACTTATAATTAGCTAGTTAAAGAACGATACTACAATGGATGCACGCCTAGTATAGAAGTACATTGAAGATTCGTTGATGACCACTAGTCCTGCAGCCAGTCATACTGTGTTCTGGTCATGATACGGACATGGTCATTGCGCTCTAACGTCAGCGCGCGGGACGCCATATTTGACGCTACGCTCTCCAGCTGTTGCCGGACACCGGCTCCTGGCCTGCTAGCCCTGCAGCGCTGGTGCAGTTGTAGAGTCTGTGTGCACTCATGCAGCTTCCGATGCCGTCGGTCGGCGCGGCTTTCGTTAGTCGGCCACTAATTAGACATTGACTGTGTGGTGATGTGTGATGCTGATGATCGGTGTACGTAACCTCGCTGACAAGTAAGGTAGTACTGTTACTGCCAGCTGTCGCTTCAGCGCGCTGACTGAGGTAGAGTAGCCGGGGATTGGTCAGGCGGTATCACTGTGGAAGTTACGATTGTGACAGATTCATGCGCGGAAGGGAGTGCGAACAGTGGAATAGACGGGAATAACGTGCAGCATTGTGAGAACATGATATTGTGAATTGCGCGTGAGCGAAAGTGACTTAATTTAATTGTATTGGTAACAGATTCGAATAAAAGGCACAGTTTAAGCCACAAAATCTACATTTTGTTTACGTTCATTCACTTTTCTGATATGCATTTACGCACACTAGCATACGCAGAGATGCGTATGCAAACACAAACACGCATACATCAGTCATATATTGTTGAAATTATACACAGTAGACTTTATAGTCGAGTAATTCAGAGAGTACAGTATTAAAAACCCGTATGGTAACCGACGCACGAGCGCCATCTTCATGTACATGAATATCGGTGTAGTGTTGAAGTTACACTAAGTGATTTGAATCAATAATTTGAAGTATAAATAATCAAAGTCAAAGCATATAATTTGTGTTCACCAAAATAATATATTGTTTACAACTGATACAGGTCTACACGGTACATGCTATCTTGAAAAATGCCAGACCCCTTCACTCTTCTTCAAAACCCTATATATATATATATATATGCAAACTTCCCACCAATCACAAACATGTCCAAACTCTCCCTAACCAATCACG